CAGGGATGTTCGGGGATGCTGATCCTGGCTGTGTGCTTCAAGGGGCAGGAAAGGAACTGGGGGCTTGCAAAGAGGTTCCAAAGCTTCAGAACTCCACTAGACTTAAGGTTCACCTTGAAAAATTTAAATTCTCCGGACCCGCGAACGAAAGGGTGGGGGGGCAGAAAGGGGAAGAAGGGGGGGGGGGGGGGGGGTGAGCACACGCCCCTTCCCCACCTACCGCCCTCCCCGCCACCCCCGAAACTCCCGACCAACTGAGCAACCACAAAGGGTGTTGCAAGCGATGATAAGCTTGATCTAACGGCCAGCAAGTCCAGATCCTTCAAGTCCCACCATTCCAGCTGCTGAAATCAGAGCCCCGAGGCTTCTATACTCCTGCTTGAGAACCCCCGGATCAGGCCTGGTTCACTTGCGTGATCATGGGGCCTTTCACCTCGTCCGTGAGGTCGACTTCGATGCCCAAAGAAGTGTGGCCCTGTTGAGGGCTTCCGGGGTCACAGGACAATGCCACAGTCTTACGTACACTACACGGTGGCGTGCCATATCGCGAGTAGACAGTAGAGAGTACATGACGTAGAGTGCATAGTCTCTAATGTCTAGTATCTTGTACCAAGCGTAGACAAAGACGGGTAGACATATGACTTCGGGCAAACAGTATCATACGGATAAGCCAATAGCCCATGCTCCTGTATGCACATGTCTGTATTCATGTTAGCTATATATGTTCTGTAACTATAGCTGCCAAAAGCTACTGAAACCTTTGTGCATCTCTAGGTTGGGGGTGTGGGATGAGGGTTTAGGTTCAGGATGCAGGGAGTAAGGGTCAGGGTTGAAGGCGGGCGGGGCACAGGGCGGGGCGGGTCGGGGGCGGGGCGCCGGGGGCGCATGCCTTTTTTGTGGGCCCACGCCTTCACCGAGATCTTTGCAGTGTACTTGAGATTCTGTTGCGCCAGCGGTTTCTCCTCGCAACAACAGCGCTTAGAGGTGCGAAGGGGCTTAGATCTCAAGGGGCTTAGATCTCGGGTTGTGCTAGGGTTCGGGATGGAAGGCTACTGTCCGGACCCTAGCATCCAACGTGGATGCGAATCTACAGACCTCGCGTGCTTGCTTGGGACTACAACACTCAGCTGAAGCCAAATGTTGTCTCTGGATCCGCATATGTCGGGCCTTCTTCACCTCTTCCTTCGGCTCCTCGCGCTGAAGAGCGCTGGGTGCTATGTGCATGCGCTGAGCCATCCATGCCCGATACGCAGACTAGGGTGTAGAATCCGTGTAGAAGGCACGCGCGGACAACAGCGACCGTGAACGAAACAGAGAGAGAGAGAGAGAGAGAGAGAGAAAGAAAGAAAGAGAGAGAGAGAGAGAGCATTCAAGCAGACTCCTTAACGTTGTACCCTGTTTAAAGTGTTGGGCCCCCGCCCGCCCGTGAACAGCCGAGGCTGGATGTGCTCATCTTTACACGGGTTCGGGGGTTACATGATTTTAATTGGGTGGAGTTTAAAGGGGGCAAAGATGCCCGGCAATCTTTTTTAAAGGCGCGGCGTGTGGCATTTTCTTACGGCGCCCGGACGATTTGACTTAATTCAGGATCCCGCCGCGCACCCCCCAACCAGACAGGGTGTCCTGAATAACCCAACCAAAATTGACTTTTATAGAGGAGGCCCCTACAAAAAGCCAGGTACAACACAGTTCTCTTCGCGATGCTTTGTGGTTCGTAGAGTTTTGGGGCTTTTACCATCAGAAGGCAGGTGGCGGTCATGACCAGGCTCTGCCTTGGACGGCTTCGATCTTGCAGGAAGGGTTTAGGGTTTAGGGTTTTTAGGGTTTAGGGTTTAGGGTTTAGGGTTTAGGGTTTAGGGTTTAGGGTTTAGGGTTTAGGGTTTAGGGTTTAGGGTTTAGGGTTGGCGGCGAATGCGGTTCGCATCTGCTGGCAGCCCACTGCATTTGGACATTTGGAAGCAAGGCAGCCTTTCCGGACAATACCGCTGCGTGACAATCTCAAGACGCACCAGGAGCGTTCGCGGGCGCCTGCGCACGTCCATGCCGGGAGGCTTGCAACATAGACACCCCGAAGAAGCCAATGGTTGAGCTTCATGGTCGCTGCACGAGATTTCGAGCATCCCCAGCCTATACTCCCCTTAGAACCTTAAGAAAAATCTGTTCAATATCCTCTTAGAGTTTTATATAAATAAAAAACAAATAATACCCAAGGGGGATATAGCAGCATAAGCCTCTGTAAAAGTTTGCGGATGGCACCGTCCAATCATTCTCGAACTCGGCCTCCGTCAGCTCTAACTTTGGGGTTCCGTACGGTTATCCGAAAGAAAACCTATGGACCCCAACCCCCAAAACTCCGTGCCCTAAGCCTTTTCAACCCCTCAACCCTAAACCCTAGAACCTAAACCCTAAACCCTAAACCCTAAACCCTAACCCTAAACCCTAACACCCCCCCTCCCACCATGTCCGGAGGTGGATCTCTGGGCAGCACCGGCGTGGCCGTGACTTCCGCGATCTCTACCTGTCGCAGCTTATGAACCCCAAGGCTCCAAATAGCCCAAAGTAGGTATGTGTTCTAGACTTTAGACCCCAATGTAGGTTGTTTTTTGGTATACTTGGAGCCCTAGGGTAAGGCATACCATGTAAGAAACCATGACCTACTTTTTTTGGCAGGCTAATACTCTAACACCCCTCATAGGACTCTTAGGTAACCTGCAAAAAAAGGTGTTGGGTTCTATGGTAGGGCTTAGGGTTTAGGGTGTCATTGCAGGTCAGCTGGATGCAGTGGTATGCTCAGCCCCAAACACCTCTTACGGCCAACACAGCAAAGTGAAACCAGCGTCAGCCAAAGCCAAACCAGTCAAACCAAATGCTCATGCCGAATGTTTCAGGATCCGAGCAACAACTGCTCTAGAAGTCACATGCAAGGTTTCCGTCGTGTGGCCGAAGGGCCTTTGTCGCGGAATATTTTGTCGAGTCTAGAATAGTATCTGAGTGAGAAATGTTCTTGAACAAATATGTTTAAAGCTTCTCGTGGGGTCTTCTGAGTCGAAGGGCCTTTCTCATGGAAGGCTCTCGCGTGTAGAGTCGAACACCCGAGCAACAGACTTTCTGGAATTATGGTTACGGCTTCTGTTGCCTTTATCATGGCATGTTCTCTTTCTCGGGGTAACAGAACGATCAATCCTAAACCCTAAACCCTAAAAGCTTGCTGGACAAAAACAGGTTTTCAGGCTTCCGCTGGGGGTGCACTTGGGCCAAACCCTAAACCCTAAACCCTAAACCCTAAACCCTAAACCCTAAACCCTAAACCCTAAACCCTAAACCCTAAACCCTAAACCCTAAACCCTATAGAGTTTAGGGTTTAGGGGGCCTCCAGAGGCCAGATTTTAAGCAGAAGGAGGGAACTCCTGGTAGGGGCTGGAGGGTCCCTCGTGTAGCTTACCCCCCCAAACCCCGAACCCCGCCCTGAACCCCAAACCCCCCCCCCCCCCCCCCCCCCCCCCCCCCCCCCCCCCCCCCCCCCCCCCCCCCCCCCCCCCCCCCCCCCCCCGCCTTCTCGTCGTTCTGACAGCAGGCGCAGAACCTCCCCACGTTTGGTTGCTCATAAGCACCACGCTTGGCACGCACTTCAGAGAACCCCTGAGCCGCTCTCTCCGTCTATGATCCCTTTAGGGTTTGGGGTTTAGGGTTTAGGGTGCTCCCCCCCCCAAAAAAAACAAGAAAAAAAGAGCGACAGGAAGTAGCTCTGCAAAACCGAGATCTATCTCAACTTCCTCCTAGTGAGAGGTTTAGAGGGGCAGGGGTCCAGGGAACTCCTGTGGCACACCCCGCAACTGGAACTCTTCACGGCGTTGCGGCTGACGAAGGCCCTCTGCAGTCACTGAGATAAGGACATTCTGAGCGGCCAGCTGCAACCTGGTTCCATTCAGAGTATCCAGGGACAAAAACGCACACGTAGAACACAAACACACACCGGCATAGCTTCCTATACGACTTTGCAGAGCCCTGGAAGCTGCAAGGCTCGAACCACCCCGCGTGCTTCCGACTACAAGTCTCAGCGTCTGTAAACCCAAAACCGTGCAGTACGTGAAGCTGTGAAACCGTGGCTTGGGGCCCCGCCACAAGCCCAGTGAGGAGCGAGAGCTGAGCAGGGAATACTCGAAGGCTTTTGAGCCAAAGGGTCCGGCCATGTGCACGAAACAAAAAAAAATAGGCCGGTTCGGGCCGGTAAGGTATGCACGCCTTCACCCCTGCTCGGGACTCCCCCAACCTCCATGGACCCCTAAGAGCCGGCTACCATCGAGATTCCCTTAAGACAAACCGGCTTAGGCTTAGAAGAAGACCCTGTTCATCCTGAAACTCCCGACTCCTATAGACGAGCCTTCAAGAGCTTCGGGCTCGCTGAGACGGTCGACTCGCCAAGCTACACTAGGACAATGGGCAGGATTGCACAACACTAAACCCTAAACCCTAAACCCTAAACCCTAAACCCCCCTCGGCCAAAGACTCTCAAGCATATGATCCCCTGGTATACTTGAAGGTTCATGGGTAGTTATAAGTGGGGTTATACGTAGGGCAACTATATTTATGACTGGCTAGAACCTCATTTAGGGTACTTATAACCCTACTCTTAAGTACCCATGAACCTCCACGTAGCTTTCCTAGGGTCAGAGGGGCAATTCTTTAAACCTCGGCTAGAGAAAATAAGGCCATGCCAATGCAGCATGAGTTGGGTGTTTAGGGCTGTAATTTAAGGGTCCATGTACCTAAATAGGCAATGCTTGGGCCTTAAAGCTCCTCCTTTTAGAGGGAACATGGGCCAAGTATATAAGAATGAGGTACATTGACCCTTAGGGCTAGGGTTTACAGAGATGACGGAAAATGGGAAATTCCTTCCAATACATGCCGTGGCGGGGGTGTTGATGCAAACTATGAAAGCTTCTTTGGGGTCTCTACTCTACTACTATTTGCTTAAGAACCCCCTCAAAAAACAGAAAAGAAGAATCCTGTATCACCCATATAAGGAAGACTATTTGTTTTGTTGGGGGGGTTCTTAAGCAATTCGTAGTCTAGGGTTTGATTCCAATTCCCCCGGACAACCTACCATCCCCCAACAACCCTAGCGTGGTCCCCTAAACCCTAAACCCTAAACCCGGGGTTGACGTGCACCTGGACAATTCTCGAAATGATGGCTGGGGAGGAGTGCCCCTGAATGTCAGCAAGGCTCCGTCCTACCAACAAACAGGAATTCTACGTTAAAAACCCTATAAAAGCTCCTAAACCCTTGAACACCCTAAACCCTAAACCCTAAACCCTAGAACCTCACAAGGACCCCCCAAACTTTGCGGGGAGCTGTGCGCCTCCTTCTCACTGGAGGGGAGATCAGATCGGCGCGAATCGGTGTGCGAGAGCGCCTTGGCGTGGCTGGCGTCCTTGCCATATGGGGGGTTTAGGGTTTAGGGTTTAGGGTTGTCCGAAATTGGGGATACCTTCTTGGGGTCCTGATGACGAGGGAATCCTACAAGTTGGGTTTTATTCTAGGGCTCCCCTTTTTTCGTAAACCCCCATATGGCGGGGTTGTCCGACATATAGGGTCCCCTTTTTGGGGGTCCCATGGCGGCGTGTGGGCATAATGTGGTTTGTGGTGTTTTGGGGGGAAATTCGAAATACCACAACGGGTTGGGGGTTTAGGGTTGGTGTTGTGTTTGAGGGGTTTAGGGCTTAGGGGTTTTCGGGCCTACCGGTTTGAGATTTGGGGTCTGGATTTTGGCAGCTGAGGCAAAGCGTCCCCGCGCACCATAAATCAAGCCACTACTTGCTTTTCGACCTGTACGCTGACATTGAAAGCCGCCAGCCTCGCTTTCAGTCACGGCAATGGCCACGTCTCCCTGGGCGTGCAGCCAAGTTTTGTTTCTGGCGGATTGGAAGCTGGGTTTAGGCACCTGCACCCAAGCCCTAAACCCGAAGATAGGGGCCTTGATAATTAGAATAGGGTTTGGGGCGATTATAGTCTATAAAGGGGCCATAAAGGAATACTATTAACTAGTAATATATTATTCCGACCCCTATACTAGGACTGCTAGCAAAGCGACGGCGTCACCTGAGCGCCGTACTTTCGTGACCGAGGTTCCTGGACATGGGTTTAGGGTTTAGGGTTTAGGGTTTAGGGTTTAGGGTTTAGGGTTAGTTTAGGGTTTAGGGTTAGTTTAGGGTTAGGGTTTAGGGTTTAGGGTTTAGGGTTTAGGGTTTAGGGTTTAGGGCTTAGGGCTTAGGGTTTAGGTTTTAGGGTTTAGGGCCCAATACCCCTTCATCAGCGATATAGGTTGGGATGTTCCCCCTTATACAAACAGTCCTGCCTCGATGGGGATTATCGTACACCCGATTATAGTACTAGGGGTTCGCTGATGCAACTCGGGGTTCTAGAGTTGCAAGGGGCATTGTGCTTCGCTGGGCCTTCCATGTTTGACAAGCAGAAGCAAGTCCAGGGGTTTCTTCGTTCAAGTGAGAAAAGGTGAGTTGTTTCCCTAAGCCACGGGCTCCGGCGACTTGGGGGGGTTCAAGTTAAACGGAACCCATCAAGCACTGGAATCTGGGGGGACAGGGGTTGCGTAGTCTGGAGGGGGGGGAGGGGGGGTATCACGGAACAGAGCTCGAAAACAACAGAGACTGGCCGGGGGGTTACCACTGTGGATCCGAGGGACAGATCACTACTGCATTGTTGTTGCAAGCTGCAATCTCTAAGTGCTCCCCGAGGGTCCATGTGCCTAAATAGGGACTACGGCCTTACAGTTCCTCCTATGTAGGGACTTTGAGGGCCAAGTATATAAGCATGAGGCACATGGACTGCCAAGCACCCAGCTGCCAGCAGGCCGCGTCGCCACCTCAAACCTCCGTACCAAAGGGCCCCTACGAGGAGGTTCGTGGGTAGTTTTAAGTAGGGATATAAGTGCCCTAACAAAGGGTCAGAACTTCAGAACCAGTTACAAATACAGCTACCCTACAGCCCTACAGTACTTGTAACTACCCGTGAACCTTCAAGTGCTCCGAAGATGGGATTCCTCCCTGCTGCCCCCCCCCTGGACACACAAAGACACACACACACACACATACACATACACATACACATACACATACACATACACATACACATACACATACACATACACATACACATACACATACACATACACACACACATACACACACACACTTTTACTTTTGCCACTTGAGGCGCAGGACATGTCTAAGCACGAACCTGCACTTAGGGGCACATTTCAGCGAGCCCTCTAGGCCTGGCCTTTGAGGTTCGAGTTAGGATCTCTTGATGTAAGGTCCTCTAACCGGTATAAGCCGTAGCATGCCCCTCCACCCCCCCGCCCCCCCGCCCAAAAAACAACAAACTCTCATGATACCTTTGTTTTGAACATGTGGATGAGCGCGGTCGGCGCGCAACAATGCTGTCAACCACTTAGCAGCCAAGCACTACGGCCGTAGGCCTAGGTCTAGGCTGCTGACAGATGCCCAGTGAGGAACACCGAATTGGTGTAACCAAACTCGTAGAGCACGCTTTGCGAAGACCTGCATTCTACGCGGCATTTGGAGGGTCCGGGATTGATCTCATTGAGGACCCTATATTTTGAACACTCAATCTAAACCCCTGTCCTGTGTTTGTTCTTTCCACAAGAACGCATTGTTGTGAGGGCTGTGCAAGAAAATGGGGCCTTTGTTCAGGCAGCATTCCTGAGGTTGCGGGGAGGCTCCGGCGTACCCTCAAAACCGCAAAACCCAATAAACCCCAACACCAAGCGGAGTCTTGGGCTTGAAGGCATTTGGGGCCTAGGGTGTAAGAGCTAAAGGCTTTTGGGATTTCGGGAGTAGGGCTTATGGTTTCAGGGCCTGAGGGCCTGCAGGGCTTGGGGCACCGGGTACGGTCAGGTCATGAGACTTTGAGCTGTACCAGGGTTGCATCATGACCTCGCCCTCATGGCCCTGCAACTTTCGGCAAACGTCCGGCCGAAAGTCCCTGACACCCAAAACAACTGTTTGCTTAAGAACCCCCCAAAAGACAAGATACTAATCCCTATATTACCCTTATAGGGAAGAATACTGTTTAGGCTTAGACTGACTTTTTTTTTTTTGGGGGGGGGGGGTGTGGGGGCGGTTCTTAAGCAGATCGTAGAAAGAACAGGTCAGAACACAACAGGCCTCCAGCCGGTCAGGGCATTCTTCTTTGCAAGTGCCTGCGCGGGCCCCCCCCCCCCCCCCCCCCGAAACCGATCCCCCCACCCTCCGCAAAGTCGCCAGTTCGTCCCTGCACCCGGAATTCTAAGCCCTAAACCCTAAACCCTAAACCCTAAAACCCTAAACCCTAAACCCTAAAACCCCAAACCCTAAACCTTAAACGCTAAACCCCTCTCAAGACTCCATGGCCTGCTCGATGTAGCCTGCAATGGTGACACACTCGGCGTCCGCAAGGGCAGTCGTTCGAAGATAAACATTCTCCTGGAGACACCATGTCTAGGGTTCGGGATTGGGGTTTGGGGTTTAGGGTTTCGGGTTTGGGGTTTGGGGTTTAGGGTTTAGGAGGGCTTCGTGATTTTGAGGGCTTGAGCTTCAGGACTGTGGCAGGCAAATCAGAAGCAGGACGATGCAGGACATGCAGGACATGCAACACATCGACGTTGGCTCGTGATTGCAACATGGGGCAATGAGTCTGGGATGAGGGTCTAGGCGTTAAGGGTCAGAGACTCGAACCCCCTAAACCCTAAACCCTAAACCCTCAACCCTAAACCCTAAACCCCAAAACCCCAAAACCCCCAAAACCCCAAAACCCCGAAGCAAAACCCCTAGATTCCCAATAAACTCCAAAAGGTCCTGGGGCCGCTTCCGCCCCATGATGATGATGTTCTTGGCCGACTGCAGCACCAGCGCTCGACCAGAAGGGTTTTAGGGTTTGGGGTTTGGGGTGTAGGGTTTGGGGTTTGGGGTTTGGGGTTGAGGGTTTGGGGTGTGGGGTTTGGGGTGTGGGGTTTGAGGTTGAGGGTTTAGGATGGTTTAGGCGGGGTTCAAGGTTGACAGGTGCCTGCGAACTCGCTGGTGTTGGGCGCTGTCCCTGTAGATCCCCACAAGCGACCCTAAGCCGAATTCCGTCGACCTGTATTCCAAAGGCAGGATTTCTCCAGGGCTTTCATTGCGTGTTTGTTTTGTGTATAGGGGTGAGGGGTTTAGGGGTATAGGGCTTGGGGTTTACGGATTCCAAGTGCTTGGGGGCTCGAACAAGAACGGCGCCCGGACGCAGTGAACCTCCGCCAGACAGTGGAGTCCGAAAAATCATAAGAAGAGCGTGAACACAAACAACATCAACAACACGAACAGTATAAATAATAACAACAATTACGACAAGATTCCCAAGCAGAGCAAGCATAAGAACAGCTGTAGCAACCCTAAACCCTAAACCCAATAAACCCTAAACCCAATAAACCCTAAACCCTAAACCCTAAAACTGTAGCAAAGGAAAAAGCAGCAGCTGCCGCCCAAAACCCTCAACCTGACACCAGGCCTCCACACCGGCATGGCGCAGGTTCATGGTGTTTGTCAGCTTGCCCACGAGGAAGCAGCAATTTTGACCCTGGCAGGGTTTAGGGTTTAGGGTTAGGGTTTAGGGTTTAGGGTTTAGGGTTTAGGGTTTAGGGTTTAGGATTTAGGGTTTAGGGTTTAGGGTTTAGGGTTTCGCCTTTCGGATTTACTCGCAGGCCGGAACACAGAGGTCTCCAGTGAGTTTCTCTAGAACGTACAGGTACGGTAGGAAGGAGGGGTTGTTGTTCTGCCCCTTAGGCGTGAAGTGAAACCTCAGGATTGCTAGGCTGCTCCCCAAGCCTACATGGCTTCCGCCGGTGTATCGCGCATCTCCGCCAAACTCTTTGTAAACAAGTGTGCTTAAAACGTCGCATCACAGAATGCCCCGCAGCATGAAAAAGGCAATGCCCCAAGCCATGAAACAATTCTCTCTGCTGGGAAGGTGTGATAGAGACGTAGTCAGAAAGAGGTACGTACCTACATGTCTGCACGCATACATACAAATCAAACAAGGCCAGCCTGTTTGTCGATCCTGCGTAAGCTTCATTCTGCGCAGTACAGACGTCGCATGACCGTCATGCATGCAATCGGCAACCCCTGAACCCTACGCATGCCTCAGCTATCAACAGTTCTGCCTCCCACTCTTCCAGGATGCTTTCAGGCGGCTGCATTCCTGGCCAGAGAAACAAACCACTACCACTTAAGACTAAAGTATTCGGGACTATATCCCTGCAAGGGGCTACTACTAAAACCAGTAAGTGTTATGATTGAGATTGGATTCCTTTTTGAACAAGAGGCTCCTTGAACCAGCCCCTAGAACCAGCCTTCATACATGAATCTGGGGTTGCGGGTTTGGGGGAGGCGGGGGGGGGGGGCTCTAGCGTTCCCTGCGCGACTTCGAATTTACAGGTTTTGGAGTTCATAAGGGCTGAGATTGATCGGGCTTTCTTGGGGACCATACCCGAGGTAAACCAGGCGACCAGGGGTAGCCGGATAGAAGTATGCCTAACACAGTCAAAGCCCAAACCGAAGAGGCCGTTCATTGCCGAAAGCGGCCAACGTTTGTTGAGGGCAGGGCGCGACCTCGAATTTCCTATCATTGTGGTCCGGGGTGTAGGGTTCAGGCAGCATTTCAAAGCTTTGCGTTTGTCATTTCAGAACAAATCAAATCGAAATTCCCAAACGCTACAAACCCCCACCCCCGCCCTCACCCCCCCCAAATAACCAAATCTCCCCTGAACCATGAACCCGAAACCCTGAACCCTGAAGCCTAAAACCCGAAACCGAGCCCCCGGCCGGACAAGACGATGATGGCCTTGTCTAGAAGCTCCGACTGCTGGTGGAAGTAGTGGAGGAAGCAAACCTTAAGCGCACACAAAGGAGTGTTCGTGGCTTGGCTTGGGGCGCTGAGGGTTTAGTCTGTGGTCTGCCCTAACCTCTGTGTGAACCCGATAAAGCCAAAAAGCAAGAAGGCCCAAAACCCTATTAACCCCAAACCCTAGAAGCCCGAAACCCTAAACCCCAAACCCCAAACCCTAAACCTTAAATCCCAAACCCTAAACCCTAAAACCGAAGACCGGGAACCTGTTCGTGCAGGATGGCAGTTCCGACAGGGAGAAGAAGTGGAACCGACGTTTAAGTCGAGCTTCCAAAACATCCTCGACTGACCTTGCGCCCTAATGTTAACCTCACATTTATGCCTCGGGTGGGAATTATAATGCTCGGCCGGCCTGGGGGTACCGGTCCAAGACTACTTTCCATTAGGAGAAGTTTCTGGGCGCATATGTCTAAACTGATCGATAAAAAAGTGGTCCGATGAAAATCACACTGGGGGGTGACAATTATAAAAAAAACGGCAGTCTAAAATTTTCCTGCTGATTGCTTAAGAGTTCCATGGGGCGTTTATTAATTGGACCCTAACATTACACAACCACTTCAAGCCTAAACCCTGCAACTTGCAACCGCCTAGGCCCTAGAAAGCCCTAGAACGCCAAGGCGGGAAAAAAAACCCAAGATTGGTGGGGTTCGGGGGCGGTTTAGGGTTTAGGGTTTGGGGTTTAGGGTTTAGGGTTTCCGGGTTCAAGAGGCTACTGGCGGACGAGGGGCCAACTGCGGCCAAATGGGCTGAGCTTCCTCATGGAACCTCAGCTTGCAAGCAGCTTACGAACCAAAGGGGTTTAGGGTTTATGGTTTAGGGTTTACTTTTGTGTAGGTTGCTTGAATTCGTAGGTAGCCTACCACAGAGTAGTTGTGGTGTTCTTGTAGGACGAGGCTTTAATTCGTGTTTCGGGCATAGGGCTCAGGAGATTATCAGGGGTTTCTGGGAGTCTCCGGAGGGTTTACAGGAGCGCTGGGCAGTTTGGGGATGGTCATCAAATTTCAAACCAAGGCTCGAAAATCAGCTCAGCCTTTGTACCTTCGGGTCCGAAACTTTGGGAGGTTTCTAGTAGAGTGGCACCTTAACAGACCCAGGCTCTGCTTTGCACGCGGGTTGCTGTTGAAAGCCCCCGTGCTTCACCTAAACCGAAACACCATGAAGGCCGAATGGACCCTTAAAAATGGGATCGTCTGCCCTATACTACTTATATACTCCTTGCTAGCATACACGGACCATATTTTCAGGGTTCATTTAGTCCCCAAACACACCCTGGAATCCTAAGCCCATCTTCCTCGCCGGGCCGCACCACGAGCAACGTGAGCCTGGGGTGCCGCTTGAGAGCCTCCAGATCCGGTGCCTCAGGTGGTTTTAGGGTGTTCTAAAATCCTCAGCGGCCCCCGCGTGCATCCGTGCCCGCCCCCCAAGCCTCACCCCTTCTCTCGCTACAAAGCCCGCCACGCTGTATATACCCCAAAAGCCAGGACACATACATACATACATAAATACATACATACATACATACATACATACATAAATAATTACATACACACATACATACATACATACATACATACATACGTACACCGCCCACCCAGTGCTTCGGCAACAACCACAAGTTCCAAATCACACTTTTTTACCCATTATCGTGCCAGGACCGTGCTTGAGCCATAGTAAACAAAGAAGAACGTCTCAGTCAAAATGTCAAGATTCACCATATTCCCATATTCATCAATACAACTCGCAGCTTTCCCGGACTCACCCTTTTTTTCTGTGGGGCGAACAATCACGCTTCCACAACGCCTCTTCCACCGGAACATGTCCGATGTCGATCTCGTCGGTCTCACTTCGACTGTATCATTTTCAAGCCATCATGGTACCTACCCCCCCGCCCCCCCTGAACCCCCGTCCCTTAAGAACCCTATAATTATATCCAGAAGATGAAGTAGCCATCAGGAGCTTGGGTGCGGACGGCCCGTTGCCGAGCCTGCCGGGGACCCACACAAAAGCGCCTAAACTCCCAGTGGAATCTTCCCGATTCCGGAAACTGACAAATTCAGGGTTTAGGGTTTAGGGTTTAGGGTTTAGGGTAACTTACCAGAAGAAGGGTCTTTGAGGTCATGCTCGGGGTTTGTTCATACCCAGTGTTTGGTTACCCCCCCATCCCATAGTAGGGTCTGGGGTGGTTTAGGGTCACGGACCATACTTAAGATTGGGGGCTTGGGTGAAGTTATGTTCCCCGTGGCACGATGAGCCTTCCTACAGAGCCGACTCTCATCTCGAAACCCCCAAGCCATGAATACTTCTGGCACATCGGGGTTGCCCTTTGTAGTTGCCATAACCCTACGCCCAACCCTAAACCCCTGTACCCCCCAACCCCCAGAACCCTACGCCCTACAACCCTAGACCCTTAAACCTAAACTAACCTTGTAGGCTTCAATGAGAGAACCCTCCTCCCTGTTGCTTTCGCTACTCCGCACCTCTGCACTGTCGGTGCCCTTCATCTGCGAAGGCGCCTTGAGGGCACCAGAACATCCCTACATAATCCCTAAACCCTAAGCCGGAAGCCCTAAACCCTAAAGCCCAAGCCCTCAGCCCTAAGCCCTAGACCCCAACCCTACACCGAAGTTTAGTGCTCAAGGGTTTGGGTTGTAATGCTTGGAGATCGTTTGAAGGGCTGTGGGGTTGTAGGGTTTTGGGCTCAGTGCGTTAGGGCTTCAGGGTTGTTTAGGGTTTAGGGTTGGGCTTCTTCCCGTTTTGGGTTCGAACTTGTGTGTTCATGGTCCGGCGTCTCGTGCTGCTCAAACTCCGTAAGCCCTGGACCAGACAGTGCGACACCCCCAAAAGCTAGGAAAGACCTTCCCGAAAACATCGTTACTGTTAAGGGCTTAGGGCAGGGCTTATTTTGTTTGGATGCAGGGTTTGTGGCTTAATATAGCATGTTTTTGTTGCTAGTATTTGGTTTGCACTTGGCCTTCAGAACGTGCCGAGGAGGCCCATCAAGCTTCTCTATAAACGACCAGTCAGAAGCTGCACCCCCGTAACCCCTAAACCGAAACCCTAAACCTCTCTATCATCTTTCTCTCTCTCTCTATATATATATATATATAAACCTTTAAGTCCTTAAGGGGCATTGCCATGCCACTTGGGTTTTGCCACGCCCACTTGTTCTTTTACCAGGCCCACAGCAAATTTGCCAAAATGCCCCTGTGAAAATGGGCATGGTAACTTTTTTTCCGTGGGCATGGAAAATTTTTCCGTATTGGGAAGGTGCCCACAGCAGACTTTATCATGCCCACATCAGAACTTACCATGCCCACAGTGGGCATGGACAAGTTTTTCGCGGGCATGGGAAAGTTTGCCGTGGGCATGGCAAAGTTTGCCTTGCGAAGAGATATCCCAATATGGGCTGTCTCGGGGCGGGTTGTCCTGGGGCCCCCCCAGACGCTCCGGGGTCCCGGCGGGGTGAGAAACTGTCCCGGGCCCCTCGGCCCGAAAGAATTGAAATTTTTTAAGGGTTTTGTAGTATCTTCCAAAATCGGGTGGATTAAAAATAACTGCGTTATTGTGATGACATGAAAAAGCTATGATATTTTCCCAATGTTACAAGATCCAAAGGGTGGGTGGGTAGGTAGATATTCAATACCAGAAAAAGCGAGCTTGACTAGTCAGTGCTTGGACTTGAGATGCTGAACCCTAAACCCTAAACCCTACACCCTAAACCCCCGACCTCCTCTAGGAAGCTTCTCAGCTTGTCCAAGTTGGCGTGGCCGTCCTCTTTCTTTCCGCCAGTTTTCGGTCTAGGGAGTTCGGACGGGTCATGCTTTTCAGCGCGGCTTAGGAGGAGGGAAATTCTAGGTTTTAGGGTTTAGGGCTATGTATATACACGGATATACATATATATATATATAGGCACATATGTTCTGGGGGTCTACGAAAAGAAACCCGAATATAGACCCCCAAATAGTAGGATCCCCTTAGAGTACGGACGCCCAACAGTAAGGTACCCCTAATATCGTAAACCCAGAGAAACAGAGAGAGAGAGAGAGTGAGAGAGAGAAACAAAAAAAACATGAAGGAAGAGAGTGGGGAAAACGAACGATCGTCCAGACACTGCTGCTCATACTTTCGGCAAGCTGGGGTAGGGCACAGCCACGTAGGCCCTGCCCTCGCACCCGCTCACCTGTGCCCTAAACCCGGCATCCTAAACCCAGTCCAGACCACACAAGCACACGAACAGGACCAACTTAAGAAAGGGCCCTTGTGTTTATGGGGATTCTACAGGTAATACTGCTTTGAAATGGTAGCGATTTATGCCCCTACTAGAGTTGAGGGAGCTACCTTTTTGCAAGGAGGGGAGGGGTTAGCATGGGAAAACTATAAAATGCAGCAGCAAAGAAACTTAGCCGCAGACTCAACACCACCAAGAATCCGTAGCCCAGCGCTCCGACACAATGAGAGATTGCAAAGATGAGGGGTCCCCTTTTTTGCCACAAGTAAAGTAGAACCCCCCCCCCTGAACGGACCTCTTCCCCATAAAGCCTCGGAAAAAAGTCCAGATGATAAAAGGAGGTCCTGGCTCACTTCGCGCACCATGGCATCCACCTTCATGCTTGCTGGAGAGCTAGGGTTGTGGCAGGGGGGAGAGGTAGGACATGCAGGGAGCCCCAAGCGATTCAAAATTCAGACGTCACCCTCCCTCACCCAAAGCCACAAACATTGGTGTGTGTGCACTGTGTGTTCATCCATCGCCAGCTGCTCGTAGGGCTTGTTGCATATTTCTTCTGATCCTTTGTGGTTCTTCTGTGCCCTACATAACCGTAAACCCAACAAACCTGCACACTCAGCCCGGAAGAAAGGACCCAAACAAGTGGTCCTAGTGTTGAACAACCTAGGTATTTATGCTGGGCTCTTCCACCCTGCATCCAAATTGATTTGATCCGATCCTGAGCTTAGTGTATAGCGTTTAGGGCTTACTTGAAAGTTCATGGGTACTTATAAGCAGAAACCCTAAATAATGCTATAACCATAGTTACCCTGCTTATCACCCTACTTCTAAGTACCCTAATGATCCTCCAAGCAAGGTCTGGGATCTCGTCACACCCCACTGCGCACGACACCCACGACCGACGGTCACGAAGTTTGTCTTAAGAACTGAACGCCAGCCCAAGTGGCCCTAAACCCTAAACCCTAAACCCTAAACCCTAAACCCTATAGACCCTAAACCCTAAACCCTAAAGCGTCCTCTGCAACTCATGACTATGCTGATCTTGGAACCCCAGCAAAAGTCAAGAATCTTAGCTGTTTCTTAGGAGTTTCTAGTGCCCAAAACTTTAAAAAACATTCCCCAAAAATCCCTAAGATGGAGGCTAGCCTACTAAAGAAGGCCCAACCCTCAAACTCGCACAATTCCTTGTCTAGGGGTTCAGCTTTGGGGTTCTCAATCTAGGTTGGTCTTGAAGACCCTTTGAACACATCTTGAACATGGTCCTCTTAAGCCCAATAAGGGGAAAGCATCTGAAATACCCCAAGGGGACCTGCCTCGAAACCCTTCATAAAAAAGAGGCGCCTGAAAGGAGGAAATCCCAGCTGCGGCTGTCCTGTGAGGATCAGGGGATCAAGCCGTCCTTTTTTTGTGGAACCCTAGCAAAGTTCCGGGGCTTTCTAGTTTAGGGTTTAGGGTTTAGGGTTTAGGCCCAAGGCTGAATGGCATGTTCAGGGAATAGTGGTGAACTGTACGGCTTGGATGGGTTTAGGCTTGCGCCGGCTGGCGGCCATTTTGCAGGGCAGCCCGAAACTCTCAGCCGCTCCGTTGAAACCCAGCTTGCCATTGTCTTGAAAATCTGAAACCTTCACATTCAGAACCATCTGCATCGAATCCAGTCGACGATGGCGGGGCATGTTACCCTGCCACCAGGTACAACCGGCTACAAGTCCAAGCCCGGGGCGCATCTGGAGCACATCCCGATGAAGAACCATCGGGCCGTGACGCCCGCGCAACGTTCGCAGACTCGCTTGCCACAGCGCCAGCACCGCGCAAGGGTGGCGCTGCAAGGGCGGCAGTGGCTCCGTGCGCAGCCGACGCAGCGCGATGGGGGGCCCGTGATGACCGAGCTGCACGCAACGCATTTTCGAAGCGCGAAGATGGCCTGCAGCGGCTCCCCGGGCCTCATGCTGAGACAGCCCAGGGGAGTGGACTTGCGAAGCCTGGTACTTTGAAAGCACAGTTGGACGCTTTGGTGGTTATTTCGCATTGCCTGCAGCTCCTTTTTCAAGTGCCCCACCGTCTCATCGAGCAAGCAGCTTTTGCGCAGGAGTTCCTCGCCAGCTAGAGATACGATGACGAACTCCACTGGGGCCCGCACTTCCTCCACCCGCACCTCAATCGCGCACCAAATCCTGTCGCGCAGCAGCCGCCATCCAGTGGCCGACAGCACACTCCCAGCTGGATTGGCTGCACGAGTGCTGTGAACAAATCCACAGGCCGCCTTCTTGACCATGTTCTCCCTACTGCTGAACCACCACTCACCTCTGGATGGGTAGAGGAACAGCGTGCTGGAGTTGTACTTGCAGTACACTGGCTCAAGGTCACTTGACTCTTCTGGGCTCAGAGTATAGAAGCCTTGCCAAGAGCAAGGTTGGACTTCAGCACTGATCCACAAACATGGGGCAAAGAGCTCCTTCAAATGCTGGGTGCGAAGTTCGGCGATCAGTTGCATGTTCTGGTGCTTCAACTTCTCCACTTGCTGCGTCTGCCTCTGCTGAAACCTCTCCGTGGCAGCAGCCATGCGCCTTCTCTCCTCTTGAAGGAAAAGGTCAAACTCGACGCCTTGCTGCTGCTGTAGTCTGTCCAGCTCTTCCTGACAGGTGCGCTCCAAATCTTCCTTTTCCTAGGTTGCCAACACGGTAACATAAAAGGCTGCACCCTGCTTGTATATGAGAGATACTACAAAAATATAGGGGGGGATTACAACCCGGAAACAGAAAATGGAATCAGGACCCATCCTGGGCATCCTAGTTTCCTGCTTCCGACGCTGGGCAGCCGCAGCGGACGTTGCCGGGCAGGGGCGCTTCGCCATCGGCTCAACTTCCGGACCCTCCAAGGCCCCGGAGCCCCCAAGGGCGTCAGGGCCTCGCTTCACGCCCTGCGCGCCCTGCGCTGCGCCCTCCTCATGTTCGGCCCCTTGTCGTGCCTGAACGGCTGCCACCAGCTCGGCATCTGCGGCTGACAGAATGTTAGTTGTCTGAAGCCATTTCTTGTACGTGGCACCGGCCTGGGTTCGTCCCAGCGCAACCGAAGCAGCCTGACGCCACAACTGCAAGCGCCGTGCCTGCGCAACGGAGACGAAGTCGGGGACACGGGCAGCGATCAAATCGGCGAAGGGGCGCAGGAGTTGCGTCAGGAGCTGCACCTCCGAGATCCCAGCTGAGTTCGCCGGATTGGCCTTACCAGGATGGGCTCTTGGGCTTGGGCCCGATAATCCCCATAATCAACCCTGTTAAGGTATAATAGCCCACATGCCTTTTGAAGAGGTTCTAGGGTAGAATAGCCCATGGCCTTCAAGGCCTTAGCGATCTGCCGGATCTCGGCAATGGTAAGCTCGGCCTCAGTGGCTTCCAGCTGCTTGGGGACGCCCGCCTGGGCCAAGCAAGCTGAGAGCGTGGTGGGCTTCCCTGGCGCCATGGCGCATGGCCTCTGTGTACTTGTAAAGCGGCTAGATTCTGTTATGTGGTTCATGTCGTCGTCCTTACTGAAATCGGGTATTTTGGGTAGGTAGTTCATGTCAGAGTCATGGGTCTTTACAGAGGGCTTATAAAGGGGGGGAACATTGGCAACTCTTGTGCATGTCTGCATGCTCTGGCGTCGAGCTTGCCGCTCAAAGGGACCCTAAGGCAATCATATGAGTAATTATTCAATTGACCCTAAACCCTAAACCCTAAACCCTAGACCCCTATTTTGGGCTTGGGCTTCTTGAAGCCACCCTATGAACCCACTCCGACTCCCCAGTCCTCGATCGGCCCGCCGGCTTCTTGGACAGAAACCACTTCCTGCAAAAGGATCCCCCTATATATATATGCATACACACACCATATATATATATATATATAAACAAATTCATAAATATCTATATATGTATATAGGGTTTAAGGCTTATTCATGAAAGGGTTTATAAACAAATTCATAAATATCTATATATGTATATAGGGATTATATAGGGATTTTTAGGGTTTGTAGGATTTGCAGGCTTTACAGGGTTTCGGGGCAGTTGATGTAACAGTGGCACCTTCCATCCCTCAGCGTTCCGAGGTCTGCGGACCTGAGGCCTCACAAAAGGCTTTAGGGTTTAGGGTGTAGGGTTTTAGGGTTTTAGGGTTTTAGGGTTTTAGGGTTTAGGGTTTAGGGTTAGGGTTTTAGGGGTTTAGGGGTTTAGGGTTATGGTTTAGGGTTTAGGGTTTAGGGTTTAGGGTTTAGGGCTTAGGGTTTAGGGTTTATAGGGTTTAGGGTAGCTCGACGACTTGGAGGGTTCAGGTAGGGTACTTCCAAGTAGCATGATGAGTAGGGTAACTATTGTTGTGGCCTTCTTGAGAGTACTTGCAACTAATGTATTTATGAACCTTCTTCAAGTAGCTATACCGACCTCGAGCCCGGGGTTTTGAGAAAGGAGATCTCGGTCTCCCCCTATCAATTTTGAACTGTACTCCCCTTAGAACATTAGCCAACAAGAAGGTTCCCTTGAGTTTTGTAAGCAAACTTCCTCAGGGGTACCATCGTGTAGACACATGTTTAGGGTGCAGGGCTTAGGGGTTTAGGGCCTTAGGGTGTAAGGTCTCTAGGGCTTAGGGTTCTAGACGGTCCTGTCCAGTCCCGGCTGGTGGAGAAGAAGGACTTCTCCCGCTTTTCCATGCTGACAAGGGCATGGGGTCACCAGTCTTCAGCGTGGCGATTCAGGCTTGGGGGGATGCCAGGTCCTAGGCGTTTGGTGGGGTTTCGGGTTTGGGGTTTGGGGTTTGGGGTTTAGGGTTTCGGGTTTAGGGTTTCGGGCTTAGGGTTTAGGGTCTGCGATGCGATAGCCTTCCCTGAACGCCCCCAATCTGGTACATCCTCACAGGCCGTGGTCCTCTGAAGGCCCTGCTCTGTTCGCCCTCCTGAAAAGCCCAGAATCTTACATCCCCAACAACCCTGAGAGCCCTAAACCCTAAACCCTAAACCCTAAACCCTAACCTTAAACCCCAAACCCTAAACTTTAAACCCTAAACCCACCCCTCCCCTTCCGATGCTGAGGATCCGCGCGTGCACCGACTGAGCCGATTCGTCCTTCAGTCTCTGGGACCCTTGGTGCGTTCATCGAATCTGAGGGTCAAAAGTATGGTTTAGGGTTTGGGGTTTAGGGTTTAGGGTTTAGGGCTTAGGGTTTAGGGTTTAGGGTTTAGCTGGTTACGCTGTAGGGTTTAGGATGGGCTGGGATGTTCCCCTTTGTAAGAACAGTCCTGAATAGGGACTCTACTAGGGTACTACAATCCCGATAAAGGACTATTAAGGGGGAACATCCCAACGCACGGGCCACTAGTTGGGCCCTTGGGTCTTTGAGATGGGAACCCTTCAAAATGCTGAATACGTGTTGAGGAGGATCCAAAGCTACTGGGGGGGGGGGGATACGTGTTTAACTAGGCAGATCTGAGAAAAACCCTCAATCCCAAACCCTAAACCCTAAACCCCAAACCCTAAACCCCAAACCCTAAACCCTAATCCCTAAACCCTAAACCCCAAACCCTAAGCCCGTTTCGGGGGCTACGGGTTCGGGGCTGGGGTGGCCACGCGGTTCTAAAGCCCCAGTTCAGGAGCACAGGTTGGGATGTTCCCCCTTATACTAACAGGGCTTAGGGTTTAGGGTTTAGGGTTTAGGGTTTAGGGTTTAGGGTTTAGGGTTTAGGGTTTAGGGCGTTACCTTATGATTGGGATTACAGTATCCAGGACTGTTTGCATAAGGCGGAACATCTCAAAGCCCGGGCCTTACTTGGAATGTACGGGGATAATAACGGTAGCTGTTTAGGCTCAACTGCTCCTACCGATCCCTCTGATAAGATACCCGAAAAAAGCATCCCTCGCACATGGGGTTACCCTAAACCCTAAACCCTAAACCCTCAACCCTAAACATTAAACCCCTAAACCCTAAGCCCTAAGCCCTAAGCCCCAAGCCCTAAACCCTAAACCCTGCTTCAGGGATTAAGGGAGACAAAGGAGTCGCACTCCCAGACCGAGGCCCGCGCGCGCATGCAGGAACTGGAATCTCCACTCCTGCATTTCAGGTTGAGGGTTACCAAGTTTAGGGTTCAGGGTCTAGGGTCTAGGGTCTAGGGTTTAGGGTTTAGGGTTTAGGGTTCAGGGTTCAGGGTTTAGGGTTTATAGGGTTTAGGGTTTAGGGTTCAGGGTTCAGGGTTCAGGGTTCAGGGTTTAGGGTTTAGGGGTTGGGGGTTGCCAAATTTAGGGTGCTGGGGATGGGTCTAATGTGGGGCGGAGTCGTTCTTCACAAGCGATGTGATGATAACTGTGACCCAAAAGGAAAACACACAAAAAAAAAAAAAAAACAGTTCAGAACAAGCCAAGATCGGGCTCGAGGGCTGAGCTTTTTGTCGCGTTTCAGGTAGCCGGCGTCGATCTTAGCGGAAGCAGCTTAACTGTACTGCGAAGCTTGCGCGGACGTTTGGCCGTGCATTTTTGTAGCAGCGTTTTGTTGCCACGAAACTCGGTATGTAAACTTCTAAACTTTCAGGGGCTTCTAGATTCTGGATTTCTAGCTAGATCTAGTTGCAACTCTCCAACACCAGACCCCGCAAATGTTCAATGACATTGTTGATGCCGATTCTCTCTGTGGCTTCCGCTGACCCTGTTTAGAGTTTACAAGGCTTACATAGGCCTTACAGTTCATGGGGTTTATAGGTTCAGAGGGATCAGAAGGCTTTGTGGCTTAGCGTTTCGGAACCCTCGAACCTGAACAAGCAGAAAACAAGAATGCACAAGGCTCGCGTCCCACCCGCCCCCCCCCCCCCCCCCCCGCCCCCCCGGTTTGACGGGTTTCGCCTTCAGCACATTGCCCTGGCACTCTGCGAAAGGCAGGCAGTGCCTCTCTCTTGCAGCCTGGGCTTTGTGGGGCATTGTTTAGGATTTCGGATCTAGGGTTGTTTGGGTTGTTTAGGGCGAGTTTAGGATTTGGGGTTCAGGGTTTAGGGTTTCTGGTGACGTTTCGTGCCTTCGGCCGCTGCCCTCACTGCCACTCAAGCACCGAAGCTCCTCGTGACACTGTACTGCTTACTACCTGTTTCATCCTGTTTCCGTTCGTATCAAAGTATGATACCAGGATGGGCTATGAGCCCTTACAATTCCCCATAATGAACCCTACAAAGGGCCTTTTAAGGGGCTGTAGGGTATAATGGCCCATCCCTAAACCCTAAACCCTAAACCCTAAACCCTGAACCCTAAACCCTGAACCCTAAACCCTAAACCCTAAACCCTAAACCCTAAACCCTGAACCCTAAACCCCTGAAGGCCT